AGTCCGACTCAACAAGATTGTCTATGAATTTACTTCCAGTAGTTTTTTCAGGTCAATAAACGTTATTATAATGCCATGTATTTATGATATTGGTGTTCTCTAGTTTTTTAACTTAATTAATAAATGGATAGGCTGGAAGATAGAAGAGAAATGTTCTTAGATAAATCAAAATATTGACAGTACAGCGTTGTGTTTCGTCGTTTGAGTGAGGTTACCAGAGGCCCAATTACCCTCCCCTTCCCCAATCTCCCCAATTCCTGAAACCCCAACGATCCTCAAACTCCTAATCCCCAGATGCCGGTAACGCACTTGTAACGCCTCTGGTGTTCCAGGTGTCCATGGGCGACGCCGATTGCTTACCATCAGATGATCCGTCTGCTCGTTTACCGGCCTATGCCATAAAAAAGTACACGTGGCAAAATACGTATTTTTATAACTGATACCGCTATTTAGATAATGTCTAATTCTATCTCGATGTCACACTTGATGTGTCTTTGTGCATACGATACTTAAGAAGTTGTTTCGTGCTTATTTCATGCATATTAAGATCTAAGTTATTTTTCTTTAGATGTATCCTCCTTTGAAGACAAAAAATTGGAGTCAATGTTCTTTAGGTGACTTTGTTCGACGGTTTATTTTTACTGGGATTTTGGTACAGGAATAAAAACATGTTTAATAAAGAACATTGTATTTGAACGTAGAGTTGGTGCTTAGTCGCCTACAAATTTAATATTTGTCAAATCCAAGACCGTAGCAAATAGATTACCCGTGTTTATAATGTTCATGTCATACCGATAACATTGTGTAATGTTTTATACCATATTTTAGCTTTTGATATACCGTATTCAAAGCCTTACAGGCATTACATCTAATATATACCTAGAGGTTAACTATTCTCCTCTTAAGACAAGAATTTTTTTTTGTGAAATTGGAAAACCAATTTAATTATGCAGTTACCAAGTTTATATTTATTTGAGGCTTCTTTTTTCCCTTAGATTTTTACCAACTGGACCGGAGTTGATATGAAGTCAAATAGATTTACATAATATGTAATTAGAACATCAGTTTTTCGTCTTACACAGTTCATTAGAGTGGATAAGACAACTAGGTGTATCGCCTAATCATGCTTTCCATTACCTATTGCCAAATTTCATCAGAAACCATATCATTTCATTATTCAATGTTAGTTTCTGATAAATACTCTGGTTTCTAGGTGCAACTTTTGGTGCTTTCGGTGGCCTTGGTATGTATACGGAAAATGGCTGTATTTGAATGTTATTTTATCGCTTTTGAAAATATTGGCTGTTAACTCTATTATTTGAAAAATACTTTACTTATACTAATGATATTACACATTTCTACGTCATGATATTTTGATTTGTGTAGCTATTGTAACTTTACTCACACAGTTCTTACGAATCTTAATCGATGTTGCTCTGACGTAAAAGGACATAAGTACACTTACATTGGTCAGTGCTTTCTTCCCGTACGGGAAGAAAATGCTGTCGCTTAGTACGTTATCTGCTGGATACAACGCTAACTCTTCATGGTCGGGGGTGCGGTCACCATGACGAAAGATCTGTTGACAATTAGTAACAATCCTAAAGTACTATATTGTAATCAAACGAACACCTTAGAAATAATAAACAAGTTAAGTAATTTATGTAACTCACAACCCAAAAAACAATGTTTATTTACATATTATCGGTATCGTCACTCGCTCAAGTATTAAAAATACTTGGAGAAATTTTCGGCATCATGTCAATGTAAGTGGTGAAGTACCGGCGCTCGTTTGATAACATGATTGTCGACAGTTCGTCATTAAATGAATGATCTGCGATTCATGTAGGAAGTTGGCACGCCGGCCTGTCGTGACTGGCTGAATAGCGAATCATCAGACGTACCACAAATGCTGCGATAGTTTTAGTGTCCGGCAGTGCTTTGTCTACTTCGGCACCTTGAGGTTCGTTCCCGCACACTGCTGCCACTAACGCGACCACCAACGTTAACACCAACTCCATATTTAAATGCCAATTTCCCGCCGAACCGACGGAGCGGTGTCTTATCAGGCGGTACGTACGCGCGTTCGCGAACCGTTTTCGACTGCAACACTCGGAGTCTCTGCTCCATTTATATACAGATACATAGAATTGTATTCCAAGAGGGTCGCCGGACAGCATCGCTTCAATAGCTCTGCGAATCTCCTAACAACGTAATCCGTTTAACAACGAAAATTGCACGATTGTGTGCAAGTTTATTGTGCGGTTTTTTAATTTTGAATTAAATATGCACGTGGCTGTAATGGATGATATTAGATATAAGGACGCGGATGCATGATATCTATAATGCGACACCGGTACCTGTAGGGCGCATCAAGGTTATGCTTTTCATTCATAAAATGTTTTCATGTAGTTTTCAATGTTAGTTTGTACACCGTGTTCTTGAAGGACCGTTATCAAGATGTATACATACGATAGTAGTGGGTGTTAGGAACAATAGAGGATTAGTGTGTATTTTTCTATTAAAAATGGAAGATATAATTTCCTGAAAGCTATTCATTTCCAAGGTCCCTTAATATTTGCTAGTTCCCTTTGTATTATAATCCCCTGTAAATAGACAGAGATATTACATTAGGAAGTATTTAAATTTTGTTTAATTTTCAACCTTATTCTTGTGTATTTTTACTTGGGTCTAGCGATACCTGTTCTACTGGGTATTTAATCATTTAGTGTTTCTACTACATCTGTAGTAGCATAGTTAGGTACATCAGAGTGATCACAAAAACTTGTTATGATGCTGAGAAATTAAATTGCCATAGTGATAGAAGAATTATAAAATTATTATTTTTTATTTTCACTCAATCTACATAGATTCTTTATACATTAAACAAGAAAATAGAGGTCGTTCACCTGATAACTAAAATTGACATAAATCTATTTTAAAGTTATAATTAGTTCGGCCCAGCCATCGTACGATGCCTGACCTACTTCACGGGTTCGATTCCCCGGGTCGAGCAAAATATTTTTGGTTGTTATTTTATTATTCAGTAAAGGCACAGATTTTGAAATAACAGTCACACTTCCATCTGGATTGATAGACTGAAATTAATGATTAAAACAATCTGATGATATTTTTTTGTATGTCAAAAGAAGAAAACCCATGGTGTGTGGACCTCTCAGCTCTTACTTGATGGTTACAATTTTTATGGTGTAGGCCCACAGAATCCACACCCACCCACACAGCTAGGAAAAAAACTTATTTTGAAACTCAAAATGTTTTTTTTTTTTCAAAAAAGAAACTCCTAAAAAACCCATTAGATCCAATCAGTTGGTTGTTCGTAATACATCGTCACTGGGACTACCGTAGATACTTCCTTATTTTGATGTTTTTGTGGTTGATCTCTATTGTAAAACCCCGTAGGTCAGTGTGAGTGTGGCTACTCACAAAGCCTTTTAAACTTAAGATTTGTTTCTTTATTAAAAGCCTATTACTAACAATAAAATTAATGAAATCAGTCCAGTCGTTCACGTGTACTAGGGTACCATGACCAAGGGAAGTAGAGATTCATTTTTACCGCAGGAAATAACTCTGTGTCTGTAATAAACATATTGTCGTTCTAAGTCTGTATATTATGTCATGTGTATTAGAAAGTGTATGTTTGTAAATGATACAGGAGAAAATACCAGTGTTGGCTGAACCTTATTAAAAAAAAAATGTGTGGGATAGCCATGCTTCAGCACCAATGAGCCGGTTCGACCGGAGTGATACCAGGACCTCACAGAAAACCGACGTGAAATAACACTTACCTTGTGTTTCGTCCTATCAGTGAGGTTACCGGACGCCCAGTTATTTCCTCCCCAATCTCCCCAATCCCCGAATCCCTAACAATCCTCAAATTCCTAATCCCCAAAAGGCCAGCAAAGCATTAGTAGCACCTCTGATGTTTCGGGGATCCGTGGGCGATGCCAATTACTTACCATCAGGTAATCCGTCTGTTTACCAGTTTATTCAATGAACAAAATATAACAAATAGATAGTCCAAATTACTTTCATACTAACTTACACATAGTATTGTATAACTAATAGGCATTGTTTCCATTTGTTATGTCCAATTCCAATTGAGACCATGACAAATTTAATCTTAATAAAACATTCTTGTTATTTAGCTTCGCTTCGAAAATGTTTTTCCTTTCACTATTTTGACCTTAATTTATAACGTTGTTTCGTTACTATGTAACTACGCGCGAACCTAATAGTTTTATTTTTAATGTTAACCGTTTATCGATTGTTGTGGGCTCCGACATGGCTTGAAACTAGTCGAGTAACCTCGTTTGATTAACACACACATCAATAGCCTATCAATCCGCTGCTGACCAAATTCCTCCTCTCACATGGAAAAGGTTTAAGCATTAATCACCACGCTTGCTCAATGCGGGTTGGTAATTTCAAACTTATAATATCAAATTATAAGTCCCGGTTTCTCACGATGTTTCCTTCACCGTTTGTCAGAGATGTCTAAATAATCTTAGAAAGTACTTACATATATTAGTCGGAAAAAGTTAAATTGATACTTGCCGTTGGTAGGTTGTTATCGAACCCTCATTCATGAGAAGCTTAGCATGAATGAGGCGGAGGCCTGGAAGTTTAAGACTTCCGGGCCTTAGACCACCATGGATGGGGCCCAATAGGGCTGATGCCGATACGGAACCAGGACTTAACGGGTTACCGGGGCTCCGGCTCCAAGTGCAGGAAACGAGGTGAAAGATTAAAGTGGAATTATAACGTTTTGATTACATAGAATAATAAACTAAAAATGACGGGTCACTCACATGAGACATATCTCACGATAGGTATAAAGACACATAGAATAATCATTAATTAACATTGAGAAATAATTTATTTCTACAAAATCTTACATTTTTATGTCTATGTAGAGTAGATACGTAAATGTTCTACGTCCCTCACTGCACTTTATTAATCACAACTTTCTTTCCTTCCAGGTATGACAGACGTGCACTACAACGAGCAGGCCTTCCTCGACCAACTCATGGTCTGCACAGAAGCCGTCGACAAAGCAGAGAGATATGAACTCTTAGGCCCACTATATAGGCTCATAATCCCTCTGTACGAGCGAAGAAAGGACTACCAAGCATTACTAGCCTGCTACCAACACCTAACCAAAGCATATGCCAAAGTAATAGAAGTCACTAACTCTGGAAAGCGTCTACTAGGTAGATTCTATAGAGTCGCATTCTTCGGTAAAGCGCACTTCGGTGAAGACGAGGAGGGCATAGAATTCATCTATAAAGAGCCTAAGCTCACTTCTCTGAGTGAAATATCAGAGAAATTGCAACAGTTTTACGAACAAAAGTATGGAGCTGGAAATGTCAAGATGATCATGGATTCGGCGCCGGTTAGTCATCTCTGTTTTATTTATTTTAACTGACTTCAAAAAAATGACTCAATTTGACCTGTGTGTATGTAATGTATGTATGTTTGTGCACTTTTATCTCGCGATTAGCTCAACTGATTTCAATACGATTTTCAAAAAGTGTTTGTTACGAAAAGAGAAGGTCTCAGTATATTAATTAATCGACTTCAAAAAAGAGGGAGTTGAAGTCGGTTTTTTAACAGTAGTTTATAAAAGAATTATATTATTAGTGATTCTTTTCACTTTATCTTAAAAATTGTTTTGAGATAAACTAATACAAAAGTAATTGCTTCCCTAATTGTCTTAAGAGACTTTATCAATCAATCTTCGTCATTTAAACGACGTTATAGTTTCATATTATGGATAAAAATTTAACCCTAAATTCATCAGTTTAGGGTCTAATTTAATTTATCGGTGGCTAACCCACATTTTTCAATTTCGAATGCGTTACCAAAATGATTGTAATTAAATACACCATATTGAAGATAAAAGTTTAAATAGAAATTGAAACTAAAATTAAAACAATTACTAATGGCATTCCGCCGCATTGAGCAAGCATGGCGATTAAATGCACAAACCATCTCCGTGTGAGAAGAGGTTTTGCTCAGCAGTTGGCATGTATAGGCTGTTGATGATGATAATGACTAATGGCATTCTGCAATTCTCATTCCGTATATTATTTATCTAGATTTAGACGTTTTCAGTGCAAAAGTTTGTGTTACTTGATCACACCTTAATACGTATGACAAAAGTACTAAACAGGGCCTTTAGCCAAACGTCACTTTAGCGCTTGTCTACAGAGAGAGTAGAAATCAAAATGTATGGGGATGACACTGACAAGTGTCAAAATTTACGTCAATTCCATATAATTTGGTTTTCTATTCTACAAATAGGCAAGCGCTAAGTGGCATTTGGCTACAGCTGCTGGTTTGAGTTTGGCACATTGATATGCCAAACCAACTTTATACTGAACCTAACTTTTTCAAAAAACCACTTTTTATTATGTAGTGCATATGAACGAAGTAGAATGTAGTGTATGCATGTGCATATGAATAAACATACGATACATACAACAAAATAACATTATTTACAATGTTTGTCGTCCTGTCTGACTATTTGTCCCAGCTAGCGGCTGCCGCGGTAAGCCTAACGGGTTGCCGGGGCTCCGGCTCGAAGAGCAGGAGTAGGAACAGGGTGGTTTTTAGTCAGTAAGAGTCTGACACTCCCTCTCGCCTATCACACGGCGGGAGAAGTCATTCGATGATTTTCCTCTCTCAAAAAAAACAGCTAGATATGGCTAGACCGATTTTGACGGGACTTTTATTATCAAGTACCTGATATACTACGTAGTAAAATGAAGTAGGCAAATTTTTCCACGCGGACGTAGTCTCATGTACAGCTCATAAGTTTTTATACCAGAATACATATACGGTTTCCATATTGTATCTATAATTTACACTGCATTGTTAAGAACGCGAACAATGAATTACATCTGCAATTTGAACTATTTAATAGTAAGTTAACTAGAGGTTTATAAATAAAGTCATTTGAATTCTTGGATTCATTCAGTCATTTGAATCACACTTGTTACCTACATGGGACTCATAACATAAAATAGTGAAAAGCGGGTGTTTTTTTTTTCATTTTATATTAGATGGGTCTGACGTTTGACCACTATCTCGCCTGGTGGTAAGCGATGATGTGGCCTACAATGGAGCACGTCGACCCATAAGCAATCTATTCACTCGGGCCTTAAAGACACCTAGGTATACCCTTCAGGAAATACAGACTCTGGCAAAGAATTCCACTCCTTAGCAGTACGCACAAGGAAGCTTGATGCGAAGCGCTTCGTGCCTGTGGGTGGGACGAAGGTGAAGCGTCACCGATTCATGGTAGATGGTTATGGTTATGTTACTTTTACAGTGGCATTAAGTGCCTTAATATGCTCCTCTACCTTCCCTTTCGTGGATAAAAAGCATGATGTTATTTATGTCATTTGAATTGTATACAAAAACTTGTGACCATAGATTTACGACTTATTATCCTTCATTGTGAACATTTAATGACTTAGTGTTAATTTATCTTAACAGCTAAATTAAACCATGCCAAGTTGCTCACTGTACTTTGATAAATTAATGGTAATTTGGAGAAGAATTAGTCATTTCTGCAATTGAGTGTAATTAAATAATTTAGTTTTGTATCAATAACCTTGGGAAGTAGGTAACCAGGTACCCAGTTATCAAACCATATGACATATAAAAGGCAATTTAGTTACCTTTAAAAGATACCATTTTGTTGTAAAGGGAAACATATTTTTTACAGTTATAGACATATTCTTTAATAAGTTATACGTATCTTCGGTGACCTAATTACGGTATCGCCTGCCAGGTATATGGATTAACAAAATTAATAAGGCAATAAGGCTAGCTCGACCTTAGTGATGAGATCACTCCGGTCAAGCCGGCCTCACAGAAAATCGAGTAACAATCTCCCCAATTCCTGAATCTTCAACAATCCGCAAAAGGCTGGTAACGCACTTCCAACGCATCTAGTGTTCCGTGTGTCCATGTTCGACGCCGATTGCTAACCATCAGGTGATCTGTGAGCTCGTTTACCGGCTTATCCCATAAAAAATAAAATTTTCTTTCCAGGTGAACCGTGACGAGCTGGACAGCAAACTAGCATATATCCAAGTGACCTGGGTACGAGCTGCTCCAGAAGGTGTAGTAGTCTCTGGCGGAGGAGAAGGTTCCTTCGAACGAGCGCATAATGTACGGCGCTTCGTGTTCGAGACTCCTTTCACAAGAGACGGAGCCGCCAGGGGCCCAGTACATCATCAGAGGATCAGACTCACGCATTTAACTAGTAAGTTGTTATTGGGAAAATAGCCTTTATTACGTAAAGTATAAAGTTCCGTGAAGGCAGAAATTAAAGAACAAGTAATTAATTTTTACCGATTATATTATGTTAACCTCTTTATAATATGCAGACTGGGCACAATTATGTTCTTGTTTCTTAATAAAAAAAAAAACGTTTTGGTTGTTGTTCTTCAACAGTTACTTAAGTAAATCGTTACTAGACATAACTCTCTAGAATTATAATGAAAGTAATTCTTCAAATCAAATCATTTATTTTCGCTTACAATGTCGTTAGTCGTTGCATAATATTACTTAATATTCAATTATTATGCTTATATTTATTTAAGATACACTCTCAATCGCATTATTTTATTTATCGCTATAATACATTACATTTAATTTAATGACAGGTTGGTAAGGTTACCTTATATAACTATTTCTATCCCTTACAATCAAATTCGAATACATATCTTACTATCTCTGTCTTACACACACACACACTCTATCTGAAATTATAGCAATTTATACAATGTGCGTACAATTACGTCTTTGAATTCTTAAAGGAATAGGTAAAAATGCCCACAATACATGCAACACCCGTACATAATAGGCAACGAACTATTTATTTGAAAAAACTAAAATTACTGACATAGTCGTCACTTCACCATTTTTTAATTACAGCGGATTCATGGTTCCCGTACGTGAAACGTCGCGTGCCCGTCATCGACACGCAAGTTGAAGAGAAGAGTCCGATAGAGGTCGCTGTCTCCGAAATGGAGGGACAAGTCACTGAGCTGCAGGAGATTGTTAATGCGAAGGCGCCTGATATTAAGAAATTGCAACTAAGGTGAGCGTAAAACATATTAACCATTATATCAAGTCAATTTGGTTTGATAAAGAATTTAGGGATCTAGCAAATGATTAATTATAGTAGTAGGTACTATAATTAATCATTTTAATGTTTTATAAGCATTGTGTTTGTATATCAACACAACAGGGGGAAAAAGTATTATTACTCCCCTTAATTTTTAATGCCTATTTGCTTACTCTGTTCTTTACCACTTTATTTTTTTTTCTTTTTACGTCTACATGTTATGTGTTTCACATTTCATAATGTGCACAAAAAAAATATATATATAGTCTATGTAACAAGCATCCCAAGTAATTCTCTATTTTAAATTTATCTTATGTTTGTATAGTTGGTAGCATCAAGTTTGCCCCATTGTTATTGCTAAGTAGATTTATGGTAATCTGTGGCAACGTCGTGAGGAGTGTATTTGTTAAATCTATTATTTTACTCAGTCGTGTTATATTTAATATACAGATGTTTATTGTCCTTGATAAATAAATAAAAAAATAAATAAAACCCCCAATCCCCCTAACATTCCTCCTGGCACTTTAACCAAAGCCTGAACTTGCGTAGGCCACCTGTGTTATACAGTGCAGCTATCTGTCATTTGATTATTTGCATTGGCTACGAGATACACCAACGAAGTTTTTTCGTGTCCCTATCACTTACTAAGAATAATAGGGTAGATGCCTAATTTTTATTTCAATGTCCGTCTGGTACATTATTTTAAATTATTACAGGTATTTTTTTATTTTCTTACAGAACCGAATACTTTTGACAATATACTGATTTGAAATGTCGCGTGACGTCACCTCTATGTACATTTTATACGTAGAAATGACGTTTTAACCCCCACTCCTAAACTTTGATTCGTTTTATCCACTCCTAAAGTGATATATATTGTTTTATTATACGACGATATAAAAAAATACGTGTCTAATATTTTTTCATTACCTAACACTTACGGACTAATTAGATTTTTAATTTTCATCGTATCATCCCAATTCCGTCATGGCGCCACTGTCGGCTTTGGCTTACTAACGTTTAGAGATATCTAAAAAAATGTTCTTTATATCATTTTCAACAGATTACAAGGCAGCGTGTGCGTACAAGTGAACGCGGGTCCACTGGCGTATGCTAACGCCTTCCTAGACCCCACCCTGGCACCCATGTACCCTGACGACATGGTGGAGAAGCTTAAAAATATATTCAAGTAAGTAATTGAAACAGGTACTCAATATTGCCTCGTTGGCAGAGTGGTCGCAAGTGCGAGGGGTTTCGGGTTCGATTCCCGGGTCGGGCAAAGTATTACTGGGTTTTTAAAAATCTCAGTAGTAGCACATAGTCTGAAACTGTGCCCGGTATATGGCCATAGGCTCACCCCTATTACATGAGACTCATAACATAAATAGAGAAAAGTGGGTGTTACATTGTACAGTGGCGTAATGTGCACCTCTGCCTACCCCTTCGGGAATAAAAGGCGTGATGTTATGTTTGTTATGTTGTTTTGTGTTAGTAATTTAGTGATTATTTTACGTTTGTAATGAAAATAAGTTCTCATTGATTGCTGTTTAAGATTATTTATTGTTCCCGTTTTCAATAGAAGCAATTATAAAATGTTATGCAGAAAACGCGGGAACAATCTAACAAGTAATTATAGTGTCATCGATATGTTAAATGTTATTTATTTTAAATTTAGATGTTTAATATTTAAATATAATCATAATCTGTTTTTCGTATATTGCTGTTTATTCAGTTGTATCAGGAATGAAATACCAGATACACATTTGTACATATTTGTTCATTTAATTATAACTTCATGGTAACACATTGCAAAATTGTTTACTTTAAATACTAGTTCTTTGCCGTGGTTTTTATTAAATAATTGCTTTTGCTCAAACGTAAATATTACTTATAATTGCACCCTTTCCCCCTACAAATCATTATGAAAGTCCTATAACAATTTCTTTTTTTTTATTACAGAGAGTTCCTAACCGTATGCCATGCAGCGTTACAGCTCAACGCGAAACTGATCAGCTCCGACCAAGTTTCGTACCACGAAGCTTTGGAGACGAATTACTACAAGCTAAGTCACTCCCTCTCAGGCATGTTGGGGCAGCCATTACAAGACATATTAGTCAATGGTAACTTAAGCACGACCGTTCCAGGCGTAGAACTTGAATCCAGTAACGCTTGAACCAAGAGCAACGTCCTGATTGGTCAATTGTAACCACCAATCGAATGATATGGATGTCACAGTAACCAATCAGCTTTGAGTATTTATGCTGTCGTGACAACATTGGTTTGTAAGTAAAATGAAAATACGTGCAATTGCTTATAAGGGGAGTTTGAAATTAAGCAATATTGACTTTAAGCGGTTTTTTACGCTTAAGAATGTAGCTTTTCATTCTATATTTTAGACAATTATAAAATTTATACCTTGAAGCTCTTCAGCGGTTGGAAAACTGCTTCAGTTTGCTTTTGAATAAGTAAAGAAATGTGGTTTTGTTTTCTCAAGTGTCATACTAAACTGATCTCTGTATTTATTTTCAAAATTTATTCATAATGGCGCGTCATGGCTTTACTTTTGTCTGAAAAATTATCGGTATTAAAAATCTCTCCGCTAGTATAAGTCGGGCCAGTACCAATATTGGACCGGTGTAAAGTTAGCTAACCTCTTGTAAAAATCTCTTGTTGTAATTTGTAGAGGTAATAACTACCAAAAATAGGATATGTTTCCCTTTTAGGCCACGCTGAATGTTAACTCAATAAAATATATAAACTACGTCTCAATCCTAAGACTGTACTCTCAAAAAGTTAGTCTAAACTTAGTTAATGCATTTAAAATCTCAAGAGTTAGGACTATGAATTAACTATAAAAAACGGTTTAATCACGTAAATTTGAGCATGAATTAACTAAAATCGCGGGTTACTCACGTGAATATACTGAGTAAAGCTCTACTAGTTTCGAACCACAAAGGGGTTCTTCCTCATGAACAGACGTCGCCGCAACCGCGCACGCTTTTACCCAGTGATTTTAGTTAATTTAGTACGTCTCACGATAGTTATTATAAGAACATAAACGAGCATGTATGAAAAGATTGATGACTGTTGATGAAGCGAAAGAGGTATGTAAGAATCGTAGCAATTGGCGTTCCATAGTCACCGCCTACGCGCATGGGAGACAGGCGTGAAGTTATGTATGTTTGTTTGAACTGAGAAAAGCTCTATTACATTTAGTTAGTTTACTAGCAGCCTACTGTAGGCTACGCAACATCGCCGTGACGCTGCTCATGAGGAAGACCCTCTCTTAACTGGAAACTAGTAGAGCTTTCCTAACTAACTATATTTACGTTAGTAAACCGTTATTTATAGTTTATTTAGTATGTCTCACGATAGTTATAAAAATTAAGACTATGAGTCAAATGGCACTTCTGAGCACATGTTATAGATCTGAAAAATTGCTCTCTTGATTAAAAACTTTTTAGTAGTTTAAAATTTTGTAAAAATATGTTGTTGTGCAAATAAAGTACATTTAGTTTCTCCCTGATATGAATGTTAGGATTCCAAATAGACAAAAACTAAACGTTTTGATATGAAACTGATATTTGTAACACTTTTAACGACTCGTGTAAAGAACAAGACATTTGAAATGTTAATGCAGAACATCAAAACAACAAAGATTTGATCCGAATATAGAAAAGTCAATTACAAGTTCCATCCTACGATAATTAACAATTTCAATAACAAATCATCTGAACTAAGTGCCATGACTGATCACTCCCTCTCTTTCTCTTATTATAAGTAACTAAGAGTAAGTAAGAGTTTCGAATCTTTTTAGACTTTGTTTAAACTCTGTTCATTTCATGGTGACTTTTAACATGGAACTCATTACTGAGAAAATGGGTGTTACTTTTTATATGTGCAATTTCGTCTAAATCTTTGGGGCTTAGAAGACCGGGGGGCTTACGGGTGTCTTAACGTTTAACGGGATCAAAACGAGACCGCGTTCAGCAATCTAGTTAGTTGGTGTATTGGAGCTGGCCAATTAGAACGCCTACAAACTCGAACTCCGATGCTCTCTGATGATAAAGCTGAGAAAGAAAAACAAAATCGAATTGCGAACTCATCTCTTTATTGGAGTTGGTTAAAAATGTATGTCGTGTATTGTACAATTTCTTTTGTAAGGTAAGGCTATTGGTAGCGATAAGAATATGTAAGCAATCGGTGATGAGGTGTCGAATTTCGATCTTAAAGTTAATTGAAATTTTCTTAGAGGCGATTTCGAAGTTCTTAGTAAATGTAGAGGCTAAAGTTTGACCATTGTTTGGTTAGGCTAACGTCCTATTCTAATGGTGTCTAACATAATTGTGGGGTGTTGTAAGGTGAAATCGTTTCTAGTAGTTTATTATTATGTATCAAGAAAAACACGATATGTGTGTGTATCGAGAATTAAATCTTAAAATATATTTTCTTGAACATATCATGCTGAGTCATGTTAAAAAATAACGGACAACTATTTTCCGTAATTGCCATTTGAGTCGTCCTAAAATGAACAGAGTATAGTATGTAATGAGCACAAATATCGATATAAACTAGGATTTTGACCCTTATTAGAAAGACCTAAGAGTTACAAGTCATAGTGAACGGCTGTTTGCTACTAATGCCATGCTTAGATAAACTAGTTTTAATCAGTTTTATCCCTGTTTGATATCCTAACGACCAATTACTTAAACTTCCCTTCTCAAAAGGAAAAGTATCGATTGGTGCGTTCATCGATTTTAAAAATTTACTTTATCGATCGCTAGAAATAGTTGCATTTTTTATCAGTTGAAATATATTAAAGAAATCGTAAAGTAGTTCCTTAACGTTTTAATAACTTAAATGTCATGATAAATATTCTGGGAACGGACAGCATTCGCATCTTCCAATTTTACATAATTATGATTATAATATGATCACAGGCCACAATTAAACTCCTCACAATATAATCGCGAAAATTGTCATGCAAAGAAAAAAATAAACGTGAATCTATATTATAAATACATAAATCAAATTCTACGCACACTAATCAACTTTTGGGCGTATGTGAATGTTGTAAAAACGTCTCATTATTAAAAATAACCTACCCTATGTATAATTATGTACATTGTAAGATTTTGTACGTAGAACAAAATACTTGTCTGAATTTTTACATAGTTGAACTGTATTGACTCGCTCACTATACCACCTATTTGTTATTTCTTTTTATGATCGGTACCTGAACTTTGTTTGTGGTATTTTAAAGGGTCTCGGTAAATCGATGTTTTTTTATTTTTAAAATATCTGTTATAAGTAAGTAAGTTATCTAGCAAAAGTTTCGGATTAATTTTCGCAAGTACTAGGTACTTGAAAATCAAAAATGTGCAATGAAAAATTCATTTGCGATTTCATGGAGACCCTTTAAATGGTAGATATTTTCTTATTCTTTGATATTTTTTTTTATAAATCACAAAATCAAACCAGGCGTTAGACATAAGAGGATTATGATAACATTTTTTTATTTTTATATCAGAATTTTAATGTTCAGTTAGGTACTGTTTTATTAATTTGTGTAAACAAAGTTTATTACGCAAGTTATACGTCTGTTTAATTTATTTTGTTGTTTGTCGTATTAAGGCTTCCTTTAGCTGTAGATGGCGCTGCAGTCTTTGCGCTTTGTACCAACTACCACGGTTTTATAAGTCACTTAAATATATTTAGCTCAGTATTATAAATATTTAAATCTATCTCTCATGTCAAGCATCGGTATAAAAACTCTTCAAATATGTCATTCACTGTGGATCTAAAATTTTATTCGAGTATTTTATCATCATACTGTAGACAGATTATAGTAAATTGAAAACCTTTTTGCGTGCACAATTGCTTGCCTGCATGACCGAAATAAAATAAAGCTTTGAAAAAAAAAATTCTATGAAAAATTTATTATTATTTGTCTACATCATGATAGACAACCGTGGTAGTTTTAATTCTTAATACTATACTACAATTTATTCGTACTATAAAGTGCTTGGAGGAAATAAATAAAATACTAACAAGTCATATCTACTTGGAGGCTTTATGTAACTTTTCTTAAAGAAAAAATATTAAAATAGCCCCAAGATTTAACTTATTTAAAATGTGGTAGATTATTTTTTCGCCAGGCAACACTACTGTAAGTTCTTAAGCTTTCTCGATAATACTCCATTCCATTGCTTATTTATACAATAAAAAAGCTTTATAATTTGGTAGAAGGGATTTCTTCATACTTATTTATTATGTGGATAGTTAAATCTCATACTCAACTTGCTTTATTCGTCTTGTAAAAAATATTTATTATTAAAATTAGGACAGCCATAAAAATTAACTCATTTACTGTCAAAGGTACTCAAAACAGTATCACACATTTCTAAATTATAATGTAAGTAGTTAAATTATTCATTATCATGTAGACAAAATTTACTACTTCCTAATTAAAGTCGTCAATATTTTTAAATTAGTATGTGCAGGCACCAGCACATCAAAATTGGAACTTAATGATTTGAAAATAAAGTCGAGAATTAATAAAGCAATGATAGATTGGATAAGTTTGATGTGCATGTGTCTGTTCTAGTAATAACTTATGCTCGAAAATATTTACTATTAAATTATTGGATTATTTAAACTGGTAACACCAATTTATGTGTGATTTAATGTTCGTTAACTGTTTATTCCTAAAACGTCGACAATAGTAAAAGTTATTTGTATTCAATTTGATCTGTTATGGGGAGATATTTCAGTTACAGACGGCAGGCAGGTCGGCTTACTCCTATCTGAGATTTTCATTTGATTTTCGACATTGTATCAAAATAATAAAGTAGAATCTAATAATTATACAGAAAGGAGTAGTTTGACCTTCTGGCGTCTGTCTGTACTTCCTACTCATGGTAAGATATATTGTATGTCTGTATCTTTGGTATGAGTTTTAAAGCAAATTGTTAACTGTCACGAAATTTAAAGCAAGACTTAACCTGAATCTTATTGAAGTGTAATCTAAATTTCATGTTTTAATACATTTTATAAAATAACACGATTTTTATTTATGCCCTTTTCTTGAAAAGTCAATATGTTTATCCTTATCCTTGTAATTATTCATTCAATACAGGTACATCTTTTACAAAACATACATCATGATTACCA